TGAAATCAAATGCAGACTCGGACATTCGACTTGAAGCTGCAAAAAACTGCCGTTTCACGTCTGGACAAACTTCAAAGCAGGACTCTACTGTCGGTGGCAGGAGCAATGACAACGTGTCCAACCGTGGCCGTAGACTCGTTCCTAGGTTCCACCCCGCTCCACATTTTTGTCCAGGCATCAGCAGACTCGAGGAATTTGCATATGCAAAATTCTGACAGTACTTTTGTACTTTTAAAAACACGACGCAACACTAAAGTATTTTGAGCACAATACCAGGTCTCGAAATCTGCGAGTTCTCCGACGCTATGCCAAAGGAAATCTGCTTTGGAACAGAATTTCAGTTCAAAATTCCAAACCAAGATGTCTGGTCAAATGGTTTACCAGAACTAGACCTCAGATATGTACACTGGTAAATAGATGGATTAAAGATGGCGGGCAGAGTAGGAGCGGGTGTCTTTCCATCTGGATCCAAACTTTCTATTACACTTGATACTTGATTCACGATATTTCAGGCCGAGGTACTAGCAATCTGAATTTATAACAAACTGACCCTTGAGAGGAGTTTAAAGGCACGTTTCTAGTTATATTTTCAGATATCCAGGCGGCCATAAGGGTGCGACGATAACCTCCAGTATTTTGCGTTTATTAAAGAACCTATGGTTTTTACCTGTAATCTATTTCTACGTTTAGTTTTTATCAGATTCTGAAGAGAAAATACGCTTCCAACATTTGCGGAGGAATGTGGAATAGACAATATACGTTGAGCCATTTTTAAAATGTTTGCAAACAACGGCTCGTTCAGTTCGTTTTTGATTAGTTTAATTTGTTCCCAAAACTCGCATATATTTAAATTTTTTTAAGTTCCCAAAAAGGTCTATGAGGTGTCAATGTACTTTTTGGTTTAAAATTGTACCAAAAGAGCACAATTGTGGCAAATTTATCATCACTGGCATGTAATAGGACCATATATGTATGTATGTAAGATAACCTCCGACACTATGACGGAACTCTATTCAGTGGTTTTTGGGTTTAGTCCGAACAACGAAAACGGCTATCATTTTATGCAAACAGGTATTTAGATAGGACAGTCTATAGCGAAACTCGAAAAATCAAAGCTCATTCTTTGTGAAAAAATTAAATAAATTCTTCAAAATTTTCGCATAAATTTTACCTTTAACTAAAAATTAAAAACAAAGTTACAATAGTTCAATGGGATATAGAAATCTAGGAGAAAATGGTTCCCAATCGAATGATACTCGCGCGTTTACGTATGTAAATGTAAATACAAAATTCCGTATCCCGAAAAGCTCCAAACTTCTGCAAAACACCGAAAAGCTCCCAAAAAATAATTTCGCATAAACTCTCGAAAATTCTGGAATACGTCTCGCAAACAACAATTCAGTTTTTATCACTGCGCAAAAAAAAAACAAAAATATCGGATTTGCTTGCGAAAAAGGTAAAAGGAAAATTTTTATTCAATTGAACAGGAAATAATGTTTTAAGTACAATGAAATGAATTACTTCAACAAAATTTCCAGCAAAATTGTCTTGCCATCATTTGTAGCTTCATTAACGTTAATATATACTTTTACCAATTAAATAGATTAGCTAACGCGATTACCGCATATCTGAAAGTTTAGTTGTTGGCTGCAAACCTTGGCTGGCTGCTTGTTAATATTCCTGAGATGTGAGCTCGAAGAAAGATTTGTGGAAAATGGCATGCAGTTAGCAAATGGCTGCATTATTGGCGAATTGGCGTAGCGATTGCGAATTAGAAATGAAAGAAAATTCTTGCGAAGCAAAATGAGTTTATAACTATAAAATTTCTGATAAAATGCGTGTACACTAGAAAAGCTTCACATTTGTAAAGAAATAAATTTTTATTATATTTTTATCGTTTTTTTTTTATAAAATTAATAAACTTAACACATTTCAATAAGTAGAAAACAAATGTAAAAAGGATGGTATCGTACTACGCCACCCGTGAATCGTCGTAACTTTACTGCTCCTCTCCCACTTCCTCCTCCAACGCTTATTTCAAAATGTAAATAACTCCCGGTTCCGCGCGCACCAGCTCCACAACACCGGTCGCACCCGCAGCGGGCACAGCTTGCAACAAGAGCGGCTGCGAGCGCACCAGACCGCGTTGCTTGGCCAATGCAACTCTTTGACGCGGCTGCACCAAGTTTTGCGCTACTAAATCACCCTCAGCGGGGGCGGCGGCAGGCGCAGGCAAAGTGGTAGTTTCCTCTGGTGGCCCATAGGTGGGATCGGGTGTTGGCTCCTCCTCTGGTGGGCCATAAACTTCCTCCGGCGCAGGTGCCTCTGTCTCCGTTGGCAAATCGAAGGGAATCGCTGGCGTGACGCCAGCTGGCGGATAGGGTGCTGGCTGATCTGCCTCCGCTGCAGGTGGCGCGACCTCTGCTGCAGCACTATCAGTCACCTCAGCCTCTTGGCGTGCCAGAAAGCGATTGGGTGCCCGTCGAAGCGCTGCACGGAAACGTGGTGGCTCAGCGTGAGTTGTTGCCAAAGTGGTGGCGAATATTAAGGCCAAGAGGGTGGTGTACTTGAACATTTTGTTGCGATGAAGTTTACTGGTTGAGTTTCTGCTACTGCTGCTGTCTGGCTACACTTTGCCACTTGGATTTGATCGTAAGAATGCAGTGGAAGTGTCAACGCTTTTCAGCTTTTATACTTTGGCGCAATAAATTTGATTTCATGAGCTTTATTAATCAAAAAATAGTTCTAAGCGCAGTCAGTTCCACTCAATTACTCGCACAATTGCTGGGCCTACTGCCATATTTGATGCAACGAGGATAGTTTCATTGGAGGTGGCGTACTAGGTTGTGGGTGAATGCCTGCAGTGGCAGCGCGTCGACGCATCAGACGCTGTTAGGCTTTTTATTATGCGTACGTGACAATAATGGATGAGGTTGTTCCGCTCGTTTGACTGCTATGTCAAGGGCCAATGCCTAATCGCGAGTGCCCAAATGCGGATGCGTAGTATGTAAACAGAAACTTTTATGTGTTTATTTGCGCTATGTTGTTGCAGCAAGCAGTGATTTTTTGCTTAACCCTTTCAGGTCCATGCATATTTCCCTAAAAGTTGCTCCTCTCAAATGGAAATTCTGTATGTTTTTAGGAGTTTTATTTTTATTTTCCGTTTTTAAAATGTGCCTCAAATTTATTTCGCTATTTTTATCATGAAATTAAAAAAAATAATATTTTTAAGAAAATTAGAAAAATTAATCAAAATATGTATGACATTTTTTTGGTTGAAGTTTTCTTTAGAAAAAAACTAGTTTTTACGAAGTTATCTTTCAAGAAAAAAATTCTTCAAGACCACATAATTTTGGAACAAAACTAAAAATAAATAGTATTAAGGATACACATTTTAGAATAAATAGGAAGTATTTTTTCGGAAAATATAATTTCAAGGGAAAACATATGTTTTTAAAGATTTTTTTCGTAAAAAATAATGGTAAAATCTAATATTACGGATATTTTTTTTGTTTTGTTTGTTGAAAAATATTATGTAAGGGGAAAACATACATAAATATTGACAAAGGATTTTTTTACGGAAAAAATTATGAGAAAAAATAAATTTTTAATGAAGTAATATCTAATAATAATAATAGATTGACGCTAACACATATGTTAGTGTTTGGCCGAGCTTCTCCTCCGATTTGTGGCGTGCGCCTTGATGTTGTCACACAAAGAGGAGGTGATTGTATTTTAATGAGAAGTTGTTTTTCATGGCAGAAATACACGCGGAGGTTTGCCATTGCCTGCCGAGGGGCGACCGCTGTTAAGAAAAAGCCTTTCTACATTTTTTTTTGCGATGTTGCTTTGACCAGGGCTTGAACCCAGGCGCTGCGGAGTGAAAGCTTACCACTACACCACAGCGGCCACCGGAAAATAATATTTATAGAAATTATATTACATAAAAAAGAAAATTTTTATTCTGAAAAAATTTATTTCTTTGGGCAAAAAACTATTTTTGAGCAAAGTAAATTTAAAAAAACACGCTCCTATTTTTACGAAAAAAGTATGAGTTTGAATATTTTTTTTTTGGAATTTTTTTTTAGGAATCACTTTAGTTGAGATTAATGAAATTTCACAGGAGAAAATTGGTGTTTTACATACAACTTTTTTACTTGATATCAGAATTACATTTTTATCCCTCGATGAATTACAACTTACAATTCAAATCATGAGGTTTTTTAAAATAATGTGTAGGCTTATGGTACTGAGAGGGTTAAAGCATAAGCGAACACAGACAGTGAAGGGAAAATTTGAATAGTTTAACAGGCCTTAACTTTCAATACGGCGTCTCTTTAGAGCCTGGTTTCATGTTTGGAATAGATGCAAATCAAAGGGTTTTAAAAACCAAATCTGACAAACAGATGACGGAAAATCGTTCCAAAATAGATCATACTCCTACCCTGTCGGAAACACCAACAACGAGAATGAGAACTTCATACATCTGTATGCATACATATGTATGTATTTTCATTAAATGGACCTATTAAACATTTGTTTTCTAAATTTGGTGAAATCGACCCTACAACCGCCTTACTTGGCGCACAAGACCGCCAAAAAATTTTGGGCCATTTAACCAGTAAATAAATGAATGAAACTACGTGTTACAGACTTTAAATATAGAAGTTCGTACAAAACTCAAAGGGAATGCCCGAATTAATTTATATGCGACTTGCGTTTAATCAACAAGTGAACCAAGTACACAGGTGACTAATTAAATTTAAAAATATACTAGGAGAGGGTCAGCAGCGCAAATTAGGAACTAATAGTAATGAAACTTTGAGCGAAAAATAGTGCGAATATCAATTTAATTATAAATGGTGAAGAAACAACATACTGAAGACGAGACGACAATAATTTTTGATAGTATAAAATGTTAGTGCAGATGATAGATAAAATCAGACGGCATTAGGCAGAAGCAGCAGCAGCAGCAATCTTTTCAACGAATATTTTCCACTCGTTATAAGAGTTACACCGAACAAAAAAAAAGATGTTCCACAAGAGCGCTTTCCTATTACTGGTGTTGGCCATAGCTCTCGCCATCGCTGAGCCGCCGCGCTTTCTTTCACGCCCTAACCGTTTCCAGCAGCGTCGTCAATTTCTCGCACGTCAACAGTCCGTACCCGCAGCACCCCAGCCCGAATTCGCGGCTTACCCTTCGGCTGATGAACTGAAACCGGAAAATCCTTTTCAAGCTGAGGAGGAAACTATCGAACCGGACTTAGTTTACGGCCCACCAGACGCCACTTACGGACCACCATTGCCCGCCACTGATCCCTTGCCAGCCGTAGAATCGCCGCCACAGTTTGCGACCAATCCAGATGCTGAGGAATTTGAACGCCTCACTCAAAGCCGTCCCTCGTTACGCGTCCAACAGCGTCCCCAGCAACAACGCGCTCAAGTGCATCTTGTGCAACGCACTCAACGCCTACAGCAAAGAAAGATACAACAAAAAGCCATTGTTAAGCAGGTTGTGAATGCTCCTCAACGCCAGGAGGCTACCATTAAACGTGTGGTGAGCACACAGCAATTGGTAGCTAGGCCTGCGCCAGCGCCCGCTGCTGCTGTGGTTGTGGCAGCACCCATTGCAGCAGCTGCGTCGACTGCAGTAGCGCCCGCGAAGGTGGTGATATCCTCGCAACGCCTAGTGGCAGTGGAACCTGCGCCCGCCTTCAGTGCCGCCGTTAACACGCCACTGGGAGAGTCTTATGTAGTCATCAATTCGCCATTCGCTTTAACCTCGCAATTTCAGTCGTGGTAAGGTGGCGTATTTTGTTATAATTATATCTGTTTGGGGAATGTTTCAGAAAAATTATAAATAAAAAATAGTCGATAAAAAACGAAAAGTACGCATCATTTGTTCTCAACCGGCTTGTGTTCATGTTAATAAGTTCTTCCTTTAAGAGTAGGTTTGCCTTTAAATACAGCGGCTCATTTCTGTGTTTTGCCGGGTAACCGATTTCATTTTAATTTCGATTTATATATTTTGCATCGACGCTTATTTCGCAATAAACTGAATTTGTTCGATGGAAGAATTTGTTGTTTATTTGCAAGTTCAGCACAACGCAATACATTCTTGAGGACTCTGATCATAACATCAATTACCGTAATTGAAAATGGCGTTAAACTTTGTCCGCATAACTTCAGCAATGGTATAACAATACTCCCACAATCTTCCAATTATTTTCCCCTTTCCCGAGCCCTTAAGCTTTTCGCTTTCGCATTAGTTTTGCTACTGCAGTTAACCGCAGCGGCCCACCGCATTGCTACCTTGCGTTCTTGCTGTTATTATTTGCCACCACCGATGCATTTTTCACTTTGCAAGGAGTGCTTTTATTGCGTCAAACTGACAGTAATCAGCTCAGCAGAAGAATATCCGTTTGCCTGGAAGGTCTACAGACCGCAAACCCGTCCCACCGCCAGCCAGTCACCTCTCTTGTGTAACTCTCACTGGCAGTTTGTCTTTTGCCGACATTGTCGAGCTAAGCCAGCTGTGGCAACAATGACTTCGGCGACATTCCTGACTTACTTCACGACATTCTGTTTTTCGTAAATTTTCTGAGATATTTCTTTAGAATTTCTTTGCGCCATTGTTGCACACAGCGTCACATGGCGGTACATACATATCTACATATATACTCGACACAAAGGTACCCATATCAGTGTTGATATTTTAAGTACAATTGTACTTTTTTCAGTACAATTAGTTTTGAAAAGTAAAAAAGTACAATTTACTGATTTTTAGTACAATTTCAACATCAAAAATACTTTTAGTTATTCGGGCATGTTCTTAAATTCGAAACTTTGAAATCGACTCGATTTGCCAAATAGTTTTTAATTATATCTAATGAAAAGAGTGAATATTCTAATTGAAACCCGTAAAAGAAGCAGCAGCGATATGAAATAAATCATTTTAATGCGAGACTTGTAAATTTTTGGGTTAAAAACCATCGAAATCGAGTCGATTTAAAATTCCCGAATTTCAGAACATGCCTGATTGTCTTCATATTTCCCGCGACAAAATTATACTGTTACCCGGGTTGGGCTATTTTTTATATTTTTTTCAAAAAATTTTATTTTCTTTTATAAAAGTATAAGTCATTGTCTAACGAAACGAAATAAGGCACCGATTAAAAGATTGAAAATAATAAAAAAAAATTCACAGTTTTTATTCAGAATTTGTAGAAATTTTTTGGGTAAACATTTTTGAATGCCGTTTATTCATTAAAAGGTGCAAGTTTTAAATGTCTAAAAAATACCATTGGTTTCATTGGTTCACGGTGTTGCGCACCTTTTTCCATATAAGGAATGTTGGCATTTTATTTTATATGGAAGAAAATGCGCAGCACCGTTGTTGACTTTTTACTTCAATGAGCTATAAATACTTTCATAAAAAAAAATTAATTTGAAAAAATTAAATATATATCATAAACTGGGTAACCGTAGAATTTTATCGCACGGTGTCCGTTTTAAAATGTTTAATATAATTTAGGAATTTATTTGTGTATACTAAAGTTAAACTGTAAACTTAATGAATTTTAGTGGGACTTTCTGTCACCACTGGCTTTGACTTTATGGGCTAGTTGGAGATCTCTCCAATGATAAGTTACGTTAAATTAAGTCTACACCAACTGAAGCTGTACAATGAACTGAAAGATACAATTGGGCAATTCACAAGGTGTCGTATTTGTCGTGTTTGTCGTGAAGTCATGATATTTCATGACAGTTGTAAAAATGTTGTTATTGTTTTGTGAAGAAAAATAACACATGACGATACAACTCTGCAACCTATGTTTATTCGGTGTTATGTGAGGTTAAGTGCTGAGATATAATAAATAATCGTAACAGGTATTCACAACCGTCGTGTTTTAACACAACTTTTGTTAGGAAAATATAACTTAACAACACCTTGCGAATTGCCCATATGTAAACTCACTGTAGTAGACAAAAAAAATGGTTTATGTTTGGTTGAAGGAAAACGGGAGGTAGTGCATTGACAGAAATGGTTGAAAGTACAATTAAGCTCAAAAAGTTACAGGTTTTGTCGTTAACTTAGTACAATTTAAAAATCTCAAATATCAACACTGACCCATATATGTATGTATGCATTTATGCGCACATTCTCATTGTCCTTAATGTGACTGATTGTGAGCCATATTTTGCCACTTGTCACCTTCTGACGCCAGTGATAAGGCCTGAGTGCCCGAAGGAGCAAAGCGCAATAATACGACTGTGGAAAGTTGCAAAATGCAACAGAGAGAGAGATGAAGCAGAGGCAGCAAGCATCACAGAGAAACATACATAACTGGATTTGAAATTTTATCCTGCTATCGTTTATTATTTTTTTCATCTTTCTGGGTAACTACAAATTCCACAGGTTGGTGGTGAGAAAAGGCAACGCAAGGAGTGTAGAAATGCCGGAATGTACGAGTGAAAAATGCTCCATTGTCACTTCAAATAAATACATATAAAAAATACGCTGTAAGACAGAGTGTAGGGAAGCACACTGATCTGTTGGACGATTTGCATATCTCAGCGGCGGCGCTTTGGCTTTTGGGAACGATGAGACTAATGTAGCACGCCTTTGGGCGTACAACAAGCGCTGCTGAATGGATGGTAGCTGTGGTTGCGACTCTTCGCATATATAAAAATAAAAATGAGGCTGATTATGACCAACGTTAATGAAATAGCAACAACAACAACAATGAAAGTAAGATTGGCAACAGCGAATGTTTGGCAAGAGCAACAACAAACAGATTATAAAGCAAATGCAGCGCTCTCAATGCACCATGGCGTGTCAACAGCTACTCGAGCACTGAGCTGGCTACCAGTATGAAATGCCGGAAACACGAAATGAGCAACAGAAAATTATTTTTGTTTGTCGAATGAAATGATGGCATGACTTTTGTTGAAATGAAATATTCAGCATATTTGCCAGTGGCTTGGTTGGCATGACAAATGAGCGTGATAAGAAAATTTTCGGCATTGAGTAATAATATTTTTGCATTTCCTTTCTTGTTTAATAAAATAGTAAATTGGTCAGTTTTTTTTAGCCGACTTCACAAAAAGGAGAAGGTTATCAATTCGTTGGAATATTATTATTATTTTTTATGTGTGTTACCGCATAACTTTGGACCACTTTAATCGATTTTTATAATCATTTTTTTAAAGGAAAGATAACACGTCACAGGTGGTCCCATATTAACTGGGTTTAAGTCCGATCTTTGGATCATGACGAAGTTAAAGATAATCTTAAATTTTTCTATGAGAATTGAAGTCGGATTTGTTTTTTGCTTAAAAATTACTTGTTTCCAACTCGAAATAGCGCTAAAGCGTAGCGTTCGTCGAGCGTCGAGTGAGTTTGTTTACCATAACTTCGGCACTTTGAGTCAATTCTTGAAGGCGGTCAATATGAAAGTTTTCTATAAAATTATTAAAATTTTCTGAGCAGTAGAATAATTCAGCAACCCCATTCAGCCATTGCATTTGTCCTGATCGGACCATTAAAACTTTGGTAGGTTTTTTAGCTAGCAATCATTTAGTGAATTTAATGATTTCTATTAAATTCGAACAGCGATTTAAGCAGCTCTTCAGGTTTAGAAATGTATCCAAGCTAACCGCCTCTGACTAACTAATTGATAGTGTCGGTGCCACAAATATAAGGGAGCCTCTTTAACCATATATTAAATTTACGAAGCCTCCGAAATCTCTGGGAAAATATTTTTGTAAAACTTCGGTGCTTCCAAAAAAATCCCAGAAAATATTGAAAAAATTAAAAAAACCTGAAAAATATTGCATAAATCTCGAAGTTGTTTTAAGAAATCAAAAAAAAAAAAAAAACCCATGAACAACAAATTACCCGGAAATTTCCCATGCCAAAAAAAAACAGTATGGATCAATACCTGTTCTGTTCCCTTCGAAAAAACGGTACGAAAATGAATTCACTACGCCTTTTTTATATCGAAATTCCAATGTAAATTCGCTTCTAAATTTAGTAAACAATCTACTTTTTGCTAAAAAATATCGCATTTTTGAAATCAAGTTCAGTCGCTTAAATTCGACTGGAATCGACTCTCACACGATGAAATTTCGACTTGCGTCTACTAAGTATTTGATGGTAACTTTATTACCTAATTTTTAAGTTTTAACGTCCTATTTCAGTAGTATAAGTTCAATGTTATTATTTCTCTTATTAGTATTGGGGTGTACTATCGAGCCCGCATGGCATTAAAACGCCCAAAATTGAATTTAAAAAACCTAAAAAATACTCCAAATGCTAGTCAGAGATATAAGCGAGGCAAGTGCCATATTTCAGCCAAATCCCAGCAGCAGTTTCTTAGTGAATCACCTGTACCGATAAAAAAAGTTCTAAATTTACTTAAAATAAAATTTTATCGCACATCTACAGGCCAAGGTATTTAATTTGACTTCTCATTTTTGAAATTCGAAAAACCTTCGCAAAAATGCCTTATCGTATAATATGTATATATACATACCTAGTTAAATCGATATGACTTTTCGAAAATGTGACAAGCGTAATCAAAGATATTTTCAAACTAAAACTAAGTTAACTAAAATCGACTTTTCAACCAGGTGAAAATCCTTTTCAAAAGTATTTTCGAACTAAAATCGTCTTACATTTCTTTCGTCTTAATTTTTTTTGTGGTACATATTTCAATTAACTGATGAATCAAGTTTAAATTGATTTTTAAAACACGTGACAGCCCTCCTAAATAAAGGTAAAAAATAAAGCCCTTTCAAACCCATGTCCATTGATATCCATATTTTGATAATTCATTCAACTTAATACATAATTTGAATTTAACTTTCTTGCAGCCTTCTTGAAACCCTTCAAAAACATTCTAAATGTTCAAATTAAACTGTTCTTAAACACACTTTCGTTTGACACCCGTATTTTCATATTTCATATAACTTGTGTGTGAGCTAATTTATTTAGAATTTTCGAACAGGTGGCAACCCTCTTCAAAAGTATTTTCAAGCTAAAACCTTGATAACACTCCTTCATCTGACGTTGTGATACATAGTATTTTAA